TCACTGGAGGTTGATCAAAAGGTTGGTCTGTACATTAAATATGGGGAATTGAAATTTTAAATTGTATATTACATTTTTTCCACTCAATCCAGATATCCAGTAACAAATTTCAGTATAGCAATTTGTCAGCCTCTGTTGATGACAGACAGGGTTGTCCTCATGGGAAGAAAGAAGGAGTTTTCTCCTGGAGAGTTGTTCATTTAAACATAGAAATGAGTGAAAGTTCTTCAGAAGGGCTTAGGAAATTGAACAACGATAGGAAGCAACCTTTTTTGTTCTTTATATCTCCATTAACTTGGCTAGAAAATTTGAAAAGTATGAATAAAATTAAATGCCTAACTGTTGTGAGCTGCATGTCAAAGCTTGAAGTTCAACTATTCTTACTGCACTTTGTAAATGACAGTTAACACAACCTGCTTCTTCTTCTGGAATGCATTAAAGTCTGTTCTCTTTATCTCCTGCTCTCAAAAACTGCAAGCTCCACCCCATCAAGATATTTTCCTGTTCCCTCCCCTTCACAGATCTACAGGTATAAGGATAGGTGAAAACATCATGGTGCAGATTGTGGGAGCTAATAAACCTCATTCACTGTCGCAAGTGAGCGAGAGCAGGAGGAGCAGAGATCTGTTGTCCTTCAGAGCGGGGACATTGTTTCTGTTTAGAAAAAAAAGTGAAGCTGTCTGACAGTCATAATCACTGTGCAGTGAAATGGCACAGCAAGGAAATCAGGTGGACCGGGAAACAATTACGTGTCCCATCTGTCTGGATCTACTGAAGGTTCCGGTGGCTACTCCCTGTGGACACAGCTACTGCATGAACTGTATTAAAACTCACTGGGATGGAGAGGACAATAAGTAATTCCACAGCTGCCCTCAGTGCAGGCAGACCTTCACACCGAGGCCTGTCCTGCTGAAAAACTCCATGTTTGCAGTTTTAGTGGAGGAACTGAAGAAGACTGGACTCCAAGCTGCTCCTGCTGATCACTGCTATGCTGGACCTGAAGATGTGGCCTGTGATGTCTGCACTGGGAGAAAACTGAAAGCTCTCAAGTCCTGTCTCATCTGTTTGGCCTCTTACTGTGAGCAACACCTTCAGCGTCATTATGATGTAGCTCCGTTAAAGAAACACAAGCTGGTGGACCCCTCCAACAAGCTCCAGGAGAATATCTGCTCTCGTCATGATGAGGTGATGAAGATGTTCTGCCGTACTGATCAGCAGTGTATCTGTTATCTCTGCTCTGTGGATGAACATAAAGGCCACGACACAGTCTCAGCTGCAGCAGAGAGGACTGAGAGGCAGAGAGAGCTGGAGGTGAGTCGACAAAACATCCAGCAGAGAATCCAGGACAGAGAGAAAGATGTGAAGCTGCTTCAACAGGAGGTGGAGGCTATCAATCGCTCTGCTAATACAGCAGTGGAGGACAGTGAGGAGATCTTCGCTGAGCTGATCCGTCTGATGGAGAAAAGACGCTCTGATGTGAAGTAGCAGGTCAGATCCCAGCAGGAAACTGAAGTGAGTGGAGTCAAAGAGCTTTAGGAGAAGCTGTAGCAGGAGATCACTGAGCTGAAGAGGAAAGACGCTGAGCTGATGAAGCTCTCACACACAGAGGATCACACCCAGTTTCTACACAACTACTCCTCACTGTCACCACTCAGTGAATCTACAGAATCATCCAGCATCAATATCTGTCCTCTGAGGTACTTTGAGGATGTGACAGCGGCTGTGTCAGAGCTCAGAGATAAACTACAGGATGTTCTGAGAGAGAAATGGACAATCATCTCACAGACAGTGACTGATGTGGATGTTTTACTGTCACAACCAGAGCCCAAGAGCAGAGCTGGATTCTTAAAATATTCACATGAAGTCACACTGGATTTAAACACAGCAAACACATATCTGTCATTACATGAGGGGGGCAGAAATGCAACAGCAATGAGGAAAAACAAGCAGTCTTATTCTAGTCACCCAGACAGATTCACTGAATGTTGGCAGGTCCTGAGTAGAGAGAGTCTGACTGGACGTTGTTACTGGGAGGTGGAGTGGAGAGGAGGAGGAGTTGATGTAGCAGTCGCATACAAGAATATCAGCAGAGCAGGTTACTTTAATTAATGTTTATTTGGATATAATTACAAATCTTGGGCTTTATATTTTGACAATATTTGTTATATGTTTTGGTACTACAGCATCAGCACTCCTGTCTCAGGTCCTCAGTCCTCCAGAGTAGGAGTGTTCCTGGATCACAGTGCAGGTATTCTGTCCTTCTACAGCGTCTCTGAAACCATGACTCTCCTCCACAGAGTCCAGACCACATTCACTCAGCCTCTCTATGCTGGACTTTGGCTTAATTCAAATGGAACCACTGTTGCGTTCTGCAAACTCAAATAAACAGCAGTCAATGAGGAGACAATGGGTTAAACTCTGTGTTCTATGTCTTGAACTTATTTTGTATTCATAATTGTTGCAGTGAGCTGATTATTGAAGCATTTCTTTACTACACAGAGATCAGATGTCAATCAAATATTGTGGGTGGTACTTGGACTTAACTTCCCAGATAAGATATTATATTGTAGCTTACTATAAAAACTGTAATGATCTAGATTGTAATCAATAAGAGGATAATTCATTAGTTTTGTGTACTATACATTGCTCAGATTCTGGTCTGATTATGTGGATGAAGTGAATCTGTATATGAAATCACTGAACAAGAGTCATTTAACAAACTTTACTGGTGGGATGTGAAAACAAACTGAAGGTTTACATGATGAATAAACAAACATAAACAAAGTATTTTCCTCTTGTTGTCATTTGAGGGTACTGTATAAAGCTGAAGGAGAAAATATGAAACTTGTACAAGAGTATAACTGAAGCAGTTTTCCTCCTGAAACCCCAAAAAGTAGAAGCATTTGCCATTCAGTCTCTGTCCTTTCAGCTTTCCTCATCATCATGATGCAGCATCATTGTTACTGTAAACAAACTAAACTTTTATTAGTGTAAAAATCATATATATTTAAATCTCTATACTGTTGTTGTTTGAAGCTGCCAAAGGCTCAGTTAGGTTTTTCCTGTTCATTCTGTAGTGAACATCACAGCAGGTTAACAACTGAAATGTGAAAACTGATACACAACACAAGAGGGCGCCTTCATCCTGCTTACCAGGCCTCAGATATGCTACAGTCAGTTAAGGTTTTGCTCTGCCCTTATTACACAAAAATTAATCTCCTGTGTTTGACATTTTTAAATAGTGTTTTCATTCTTTTCACTAAATTTAGCTTGTACTTCCAGTTAGTAAAGTTCAGGTTCACTACATTGTGTCTAGGTCACGTGAGTAGGTTGTTTTAATGTTGATGCTTTTGAGTTAATAAACACTAATCACTAAAACATTAAAAAAAATCCTGATGTGATGAGAAGGTAACTGCTACAGTAGGTTAAGTTTATTTGTTGGGACAGAATTCAAAGTATATTAATACATTTTCCAGATTCATCCAGTCACTCAAGTCTCCAGCAGTGTTAAATAATCTGGTGCATTCAGGTCGTGTGAGATTCAGTGTTGCAACACTCACTTAATTTATTTGTATAAATGTATCTAACATTAAACACACACCTTGAAAACTCTTAAAGGACTTTATCATATAATATTGTTTCATTGTATTTCATTACATTACTGGTGTTTAATTGCCTTCACAGCAAATTCATTTCTCTGTTTTATCATCTACTGTATTTGAGTTATTGTTAACAATAGATAATGATTAAAACTAATTACAGGATATGTCAGTAATTCTGAAAACCGGAGTTTTTGTTCAGAAACAAAAAGTGCAGATTTTAATCAGCTCTATAGTAATGTGTAAAAAACATTCTTATTCTAGTCACCCAGACAGATTCACTGAATGGTGTCAGGTCCTGGGTAAAGAGAGTCTGACTGAACGTTGTTACTGGGAGGTGGAGTGGAGAGGAGTAGGAGTGGATGTTGCAGTCGCATACAAGAATATCAGCAGATCAGGGAGTTTGACTGAATGTGGATTTGGACTGAATGACAAATGTTGGGCATTAAGATGTGACAAACACAGTTATGTGTTTTTGTACAATGGCGTCCAAACTCCTGTCTCAGGTCCTCAGTCCTCCAAAGCAGGAGTGTACCTGGATCACAGTGCAGGTATTCTGTCCTTCTACAGCGTCTCTGAAACCATGACTCTCCTCCACAGAGTCCAGACCACATTCACTCAGCCTCTCTATGCTGGACTTTGGTTTCGTTACAATTATGGAGACTCTGCTGAGTTTTGTAAACTCACATAAACAGAGGTCTTTGGGTGGGCAGCTGGTTAATTTCTGTGTTGTAACTCTGAAACTTACTTTGTCCTCTAGCCTATTTTGTTGCTGAGAGCTTATTGTTATGGCATTTCTTCACTGTACAGGGGTCACCTGTCAATCAAACATTGGGGGGGGCACTTTGCCATCTTCTCATCTTGTAACTGCTTGGGCTTCTTTATCATAATCATTTTACAAATGGGTATTGTGGTGTATTTAAGGTGTATTAACAGACTGAATGTCTACATAACCAATATTTTATTTCCAACAGTGAACAAAGTATGTATCAGTCACCTGTATCAATATAGGTTAATCTGATGGAGAAAATGTGAAAATGATATGATAGTATAATTAAGACAGTTTTCCTCCTGAAAAACTACAGAGTACTTGTTTAGCAGACGAGCATTTGTCAGACAGTACTGTTTATATTTTACTATATAAAATATTAATAGCAAACTATAATCAGTACAGTCTGTGTGTATTTGTACATAGCAGATAAATATGTGTACGTCCATTTTGTTGCTGTGACTTTGCTTCTTCTTGTATGTGTACATACCACTAAAGTTGGCCATTAAAGCTGATTCTGTTGAAACTGACTTTGACGTGTGAAATCGCCGGACTGCCCCTTTAATTATCCCGGGTACTACGTGCAGTAAGTCGGATTCCACCACTAGAGTTCTCCCTCTGGTTCAGCGGCTCCGCTCGGCTCTGTTGGCGCTGTCTGTGTTTACCTCCCAGCCCAGCGCTGCTGTACTGTGGCCAGCTGGACACAAACCACCATCCACAGCCTCAACTAGCCCGAAAAATACTAATGTAAGCTGCCTCGCGTTCAGTCCTTTGCGGATTTCCTGCAGCAGCTGTGTGTGAGCGACACCGTAGCAAAGGTAAGTTTGATTTTTATTCTGATGAAAATGGCACACGCTCGCAGACAACACTGCGGCTAGCTCGCTAGCCAGCGACCAGCACCGTTAGCTTAGCTGCCTTTCCTATCCCGTGATGGAGGATTGTGAACATGGCGCCCTCCAAAACAAACGAGTAGGTAGCTAGTTAGCCGACTGTGTGTCGCTGTTTTGTGACGGCGGATATAGCTCCAGGTGTACCCGAAATAGTACTCGCCTGTCGCTCTGAAAGTGATTAACGTTATTTCCTCGGTTCGCTGACAAGTTGGCTAGCTAAGGTTTACCTACCAACCAGCTACGATTAGCTACGTAACAGTTTACTAGCATCGCTAACAAAAATTAACACACCACGACAGTCTGTCTGCCAGCCTACCATTAATTTTAGGTGCTTGTTCGGGGGTTTCTGTTATCATTCATTATACAAGCAATGTAAATTGTGTGGTTTACGTTATTTAGTGGAAATGAAAATTGTTATTTTGTGTTGACAAGCTTGAGGGTTGTGCGTTAGCTAGCCTGCTAGCAGCTATATTCAGCGTCTTGAATGGCAATGCCCGTGGCCTTCCACGGCTAACCCTCTTTGTTGCCACATCTATGAGTGGTGTTTAATGTGGCATTCAATTACGAGATTTGTTGTTGAGTTTTGATTCACAGTTTGATGACTCGGATGATCTTTCACAGAACGGTCCATTTGGTCTCCTCATATCAGTGTCAATATGGTTGCTTGCTAATAACTGGCTAACGGTAAATGGTGCTTACATATTAGGACAGCACTGCTTCCCTCATACCTGTGTAGTTGATTTAATTGATATCATGGCTAACAGGGATGGTTGTTGCAGTGGATTCACGTTTGGAGGAGCTGTCAGGTTTCCCTAAAAGGGAACAACAGCGTTGTGTATGCTCATTGTTTACCCTGGGAGTCACGAAACCCTCTCAACCTGTGCTGGCTGTCATCTAATTGGCCTCTGGTGTCGCACACCTTGTCTAATTGATTGGGGAGCACACTGGCGTCGGCCTGTCATCATGTAGTAGTGTGGGCTCTCTGGAGGCAGAGGTGCAGGCTGGCAGCGGTTTGCCAGGCAGACGTGGATGACTGTGTTGTGTACATGCCAGCCCATCAGACGCATATGAAGTAGGGAGAGCCGTAGTGGCCATGCTGCCTTGGCATCATGGTACAGGTGGCCCTCCTTCACACCTACTGCACTTGACACAGAATAGGGGAGATCACATTTCTCACTGTCACCTTACTGCTCCCAGTCCCTCTAATGTCCCCTCTGATGTCTAGGTCGATTTCCTTCTCCCTCTTGCCCTGCCAACCAAGAGTGTTGTGAGGTTTTAAACCAAGATGGGTGAAAAATGGTTGCCTCATACAGTAGTTCTGAGTAGCATAATGTGCGCCTTAATGTAAATGTCATATTTATACCCTGTTGCCATTACCAACAATTACATCATATCTGCTTTTTGTAAAGAGCCTGTTAAAGCTTTTAATTTAATCAATTTTCAAAGTGACATGATGGTAAAAATCCCCTTTTACCCCCTGGAGACAGTATTGTTGCATTCACTCTGAAAGTTAGAGGCAAAACATTTTCTCATGTGAAATAAATATTTACTTTTGTGCAGTATTTCTTCCAGAGTTGTGTTCTTTTCGAGCACTCTGTTTCAGCTAATACTTTGGGAAATTACTGAAGCAAGGTACAATTAGATTTTTATTCAATAAAAAAATCTATTAGATAATTTAGTCACATTTTAAAGGAATCCAGATGGTGATAATGACTGCTTTTGGTGAGCCTGACTAGCAACTGTAATAATAAATGCATCAGGCTGATATTTGTGTACTTAAGCCCAGGCCCAGATCTCATCTCTAACAGTCTGAAACAGAGCAGATATCTAAAATACTGTGCATAAAGAGGTGATTATATTAGACACTATCTCAGCTTAAGAAACCTCCTCTTTGACCACGACCAAAATATGAACCATTATATTTCTAGACAATATATTTTACTTGCTTGCTACAACTGACCACATGATTTGTGTAGATATTAGCTTAATTTGCATTTATTTTTCAATTATTTGGTGATTTTTATCAGCACCACATTCGTTTATTTATTTATTAATTTTTTACATGTTTTTCTTTCACCTTAAACCACAGTTCACACACTCATGAGAAAAGTGTGAAGATGAACATCCTCTGTCAACAACTGTCACATCCTCTTCTACCACAAAGTGCACTAAAGCCAAAGCGTTCTCCTTCATATAAAAATGCTTCAAGCATCATTATGGTTAGCTTTTGGCTGCGATTTATGAAAGTGACATCTTAAGTTTCATGGATGGTTAAGAGGAGGACCGCGTAAAATTGGATTTGAAGATATTTGGGGAAGGCCAGGCTTGTGCACCGAAGTAAAGAGGCAGCTAGTATTATTCAGAACCTTTTGAAGGTCTCTAACAGTTTTCCTTGTCATATTCCCTCCGATATTTTCTGAGCATCCAACGGCACTACAGTATTTGTTTTAATGTTCACATGTCACTGAGGGAAAAGGCCTGAGGTATTACGAATGTCCTCCTAATGACAACAAGGCATGATATTCATTTGTCCGATATGTAGGCTAGTTATTGCTTTTCAGAAGGATTAGGACTTACATATATGAATTTTAAAAAGTGGTGCTTTGATAGGACGTAATGCTAAATTTATGTCTGCAGTACAAAGTTCATAGCTTTAGTTTCAGTGACATCAAATACCTAGCATGCGAAGAGTGATCACAACAACTTTTATTCAAAGCATGTTTAAACTACTGTGACTGTATGTAGTTCTGAAACAAATGACCTTGGCTCAAATATCCCAAACATATTTTTAGCGGTTTGCTTCACAAACTTGAAAAAAATGATTCAGTTATCGCTCATCTTAAAAATTATTAAGTAAAAGGATGTGTAATACAAGTAGCCACTTGACATTCACAGGGTTCCTACGCAAGTATGGAAAGTATGGAAAAGTAAGGAAATAAATTTGATCAATTTCCAGGTATTAAAAAGTATGGAAAATGAAAAATAAAGTATGGAAAAATATTTATGTTTTCAGACTATTATCACTGTTCTAAAATACTGTTTTCTAAAATAGAAAATTAGGTATTTCTAAAAATAATTTAATCAATCCGGATCATGTTTTATGCCAAGCCAAGCACAGTTTGTGTGAGAGCAAACGTCTCAGAAAACATACCTCCCCTTTTACCTGATTGACAAGTGGTATGTCCAGTCCGCTGCCCCATGACCCTCCTCCAGCCCCCCAGGTATCAAGTTTTACTCCAACACTGCACCTTCGACAAGAAGACAAGTTTCACATGGTTCACAATGGGTAGATGCAAGTTTTTGGATGGATGGCTTGACAATACCTTATATAAATACTGGTTGGCCAAGAATTCCCAATTCACTCACATATCTAGATGTAAGCTTTGTGTGAAATCGTTTGACATCGCCAACATGGGGGAGAAGGCGACTCTGAGCCACATGAAATGAAAAAACACTGACGTCTCGTTACTGCATTACTTGCACACAGAGTCCAACCTTTTTGCCACAGCCCAGACATTGAACTTACCTGAGTTTTTATTTGCATGCCTATTAAGAATAATCAAATATGATGTGAAATATGATACACTGATATATTTACTCAGATGTCGCATATTCTCTGAGGAAAAAAAAACAAAAACGCAGAGAAGTCTGGAAATTAGGGTATGGAAAAGTATGGAATTTTGAAATTCCAAATGTGTAGGAATCCTGCATTCAATCAGCATAGGAACCATAATAGCAACTAAATAAACTGAGAAGGGAAATGTGAAAAGGCAATCAGTCAGCGTAGCCATCCAGATTCCCTTTATGTCCTTTACTCATATTTGTATGGTACTTTAAATATTACAGAGACAATAAATGTAGTTTGGCTCCTAATTTGAAACTTTAAGGCTAACAGAATGGATTTTAAAGCATTATGATTTATGAATCTTCTCTGAATGTAAGGTTAAATCAAACAGCCACATTTTAATGGTTGGGACATTTTATTTTCTTACAGTTTTTATCAGTTGTAATGAGGAGGATGGATGAAGAGTTTCCGAGTGAGTTTTACCTTTGATTCAGATTATTCAAGGATGATCAGTGAAGGCTGAAGTGTTTTGTCTCAGACGCTTAGAGCTCAATTAGGATAATGAGTTTGGGAGTTTTTATTTTGAGAAAGCCTTCCTCAGCAAGTCTGGACAGATACTCTTTGTTTGCATTGTGTTGCTATTGTCATGTTGTTTAAATGACTGTTTATCATACTCGTGTGATATCGTGTCATATTGATGTATGTGTGCTTTTAATTTGATAAGCAGATTTTCTTTAAAATCTGACGTTAAGAATGCAATGTACAACTGTATGGAAGTATATTAAGCACATTTTTGTTTCTTTTTTTTCACTATTATGACCATTGATTGCAACACAAAGAACCACGATTTGATTATTAACGTGATTATTTCAGAGGTATAAGACTTTTTGCTGTTCAGCATTGCTGATTAGTATTATGTACTGTCTTTGGCAGAGCAGTGAGATACACAAAGAAACACTATTACTACTGTTACCATCACTATAAGCAGCACCACTGGTGTCCCTAAATTGGTAGTTCTGTTAATATGAACTGTGCAGCCTCTCGTTTTATTTTTGGTACGACAATCTAAACATAGTTTTTATTTACAGAACAAAAGCAAATACGCATTTCTTTGTTTCCCACAGTTGTGATGAATAAGGAAATCATGTCACGCGTGGTGAAGAAGAGGCAGGCGGACCCTAAGGTGGTTCAGTATGTGTGGGCGGCCATCGAGGTCGTCCGCAACCAGAAACAGATTGCAAACATGGACAGGATCTCCAAGTAAGTTAATCAGATAAGACAGACATGATGATGTGTATCTTTCATGGAATGTGTGAACATTGTCCTTTGACCAAAGTTCACACCATTCTGTTAAAGGCTACTTGTAAGGATTAGTTCAAATAATTTTCAAAAAGCATAGTTTTCCACTGATCTGGCCACGCAGGCTGCTCTGATTTCATCTGCTGAGATTTCAAAATATGTGTCCCTTGAGTGTTGTTTAACCAGCCCAGTACAGATGAGGCTGAAGATTTTTTAGGATTTTGTTTGTAGTGTTCACAGCACTGAGGAGGGACATTTGAAAAAGTCAACGGCCATGTGTTCTTTCAGAAACAACGTCCAGGTTACACTGGATAGTCCACAGACCTCAGAGACAGTTGTCACTGTGACATTTTTGTTGTACAACATAAAGTGACGAGACGTAGATAAGAGTGAGAGGGGTAATGGACTTTTGAGGTATTTCAGGGTGTGAGTAAATGGAATGTGTCTTGGCCCACTTATACACAAGGATGTACATTTTTTGAGACTTTAAAGGTGAAAATGCAATGCCTTTTAGTGAGGAATTTTGTCTGGAGGGGATCTTTAATCTATAAAAAACATTTATGGTTTGGCCTGCTTATGTGTCATCAAGCAAGGTATTACCTAACAGCTGCCTATTGAAAGGGTTTTAGGTGATTCAGACCAGCACAGTGATGACCTGAGGTGAGAAAAACAGCTCCACACATGAACATGCCATCACTTGAACCTACTATATGTGGACATGTTGTGTTACATGAATCATTTCTCAGGCTTTTTATGTTACTACGCAGGGTGACTGGTGTCTGCAGAGCTCTGAAAAATAGCTACTGTGAAATCAAATATCTATACTCAGGGCAAGGGTTGGGTATTGTTTGGGTTTTTTGATACTTGCTTAAAGATACTTTAAGAATACAACCAAAGCCTGAAGGATGTCTGAACCGGTAGTTTTAAACAAATAAAGCACAAAACGATGGTCAGTGATGTTAAAGAACAGGGATTTTTTAAATTGCAAAGTGAAATTGAAACTTCAAATTGAATAATACAATAACTCTTAAAAAATATACTGAAAGATATAAATATGAATCAATAAAAAATACTGATTTCACTCGCTAACTTCGGAGCTGACCCCCTTAACTTTAATCAGCAGGTAGAAAATAAGACATGATAACTTCTGTTGGGTCTTGAGAAGCTGTAGCATTTATTCACTGACAAATTGCCAAAACGGTACTCGCATTGTTCTGCTACACTCAACTTCATATTCTCTGCTGCGGTCATTGCAGCCTCACTGTCTCGTGTCACCATTAAACACACGTACACCTACACACACACACTCTCTTCTTCCCTCTCTTGACCACACACTCGCTACGCGCTGAAGGAAGACAGAGAAATCTGCTTTGAGATTCGGTCCAGTAGGAACCGGTGCTGTAAGAAATGGTGTCATATTAGCCACTGTTTACATTGCTAGTCTATTGATATATATTTTAAATAATCAAATAATAATTTAGTTTATGAAATGACAGGAAGTAGTGAAAAAATGCTATATGATATTACATTTACAATGACATGAAACCCAGAAAAGCAGCAAAATCACACATTTGAGACGCTGGAACCTGAGAAAATTGTTGTTGTTTTTTGTTTGATAAACAATTTAAGCCATTAATCAATCATCAGAATAGTTGCTGATTAATTTTCTGTCAAACAACTAATTGATTAATTCACTTAGTGTGTGGTATTGTTGTTAATATGTGTGTATTGGTACAAGCAGCAAAGGTAAGTCTTGGATGTGCTGTTGAGCTCTGTTTGCATTCGGTGCCACACCAGGAAGTGATCAATATTAAGACTGACAGATGTTGGAGTTTTGGTATTCTCCAGTGGCTATTCACTTAAATCAGCCTATGGCCCCCCTCCCCCATGTAGAAACTGGCCCTAGAGTACCTACAGCGGGTTTGGTTCATGATGCTCTAAACATCATTCTTTTATCCATGGAGTGAATCTTACATTGTTCAAACAATGAAAATCGATGATAAATCATCCGCGGCATCGCTGATCAGTCGTTCCTTTCACTCGGCGGATGGAGCAGAGACTAAATGAACACTTAGCACATCTCATACAGCAAGTTGGCGAGCACCTTGGAGTTGGCTGCCTGCCAAATCAATACCCGGCAGCGAGCGGCTGTTGTCATGGCAACAGTAAGCAGCAGCATGCAACGGATAGCCCCAGCTCCCCCCCCCCCCAACACACACACACACACACACACACCTCCAACCTATCCAGTCACAGTGTAGTTAAATTCCACCCTAACGGGCTTTGTGTCCAAGAGGGTGATGACTTTGGTTTTGTGGAAATAGAGGAGACTAAAGTCAGCAAGGCAGCAGCGAATAATTAACCGCTCTCTCTCACATGATGAAAATGCAATTTCCTGGTACGGCAGGGTCACAGCCACAGCAGTCGGACTGTTTACAACCAATTAGTTAATCATTAACCAAGCTAATTGTTAATTTGCAAAACCTGATAACCAAATGTATAATTCATAGAATGTTTGACTTTTGATTATTTTTTTTTAGTAAACATTTTATAGTCAGTTGATAAGAGCTGGAGTAACCAAGGATAAAAAAAAAGTATGCATTAAATATGAAGGAGTTAGAGAAAAAAACACAAACAGTGTGAATTTTCTCATTTTGCTAAATTTCTCTCATGTGTATTAGACCTAAGTAAGTTTGGGTTTATTTTTATGGAAATAAATAAGTAGAAGCACACTGGATTGGTTTAGTAATCCTCAAAATAATGTCATCCAGCAACAACTAGACACGCATTAGCAATATGGAAGTGATTAGACTATTGACAGAAAGTGAACTGGCAACTAACATTTGTCAGTCATAGGAACTCTTACAGTTTTTTAAGCATAAAAATGGCAAACTTCCAACGGTTCCAGCTTCTCAAATGTAAGCATTTGCTGGTTTTCTTTGTCTTACGTGATAGTGAACTACATATCTTTGAGTTTGCGCTATTTGTCAGACAAAACAAGCAGTACGAATATTTCGTTTTTGGCTCTGTGATTGCATTATTTAATATTATCTTGCATTTTATCACAAAATAATAGATTTGATAAAATAACCATTTGTTTCAGTCAATTTTCTAATGTTTATTTTTGTACTCATAAACTAAGAGGAGGCCAGAATGGGTTGATAGTTAAAGTCCGGTGTTCTTAAATTTTCTATATGAACTAACAACATAAGACAATCATAAGTAAAGTTGTAATTTAAGTATTGGTCAACCCAACTCAGAAACTTTGCTTTTATTAAACAATACCAAATGCATTTTTTACTCAGTCAGAGCTCACAGCGACATGTTGCCAAAACAGCAACAACACATTTCGCTTGTTTGATCACATTCTAAACAACTGATTAATTGATCGTTGATTAATCATTATCATCCCTAATAACTCCAGAATAAAACAGAGTGAAAGATATAGGTTGAAATCTCAGTCGTATACAGTGGAGAGCTCATCTTTTATTTATTCTGGGAGCCTGGCGGAGTCTAGTCAGTACCTTGGTTTTAATATCTTTGCTTTAAGTAATCTGGTCTGACTTGTGTTCACCTCACAGACATACTATAGGCCTCTCCATTTTAACTCAGGAGTAAATACAGGCTCAACCTGATTCCCCACTGACATATTCTGTTCGTTGGCTGTCTGCCACAGTAGAGGATACATGACCTTGCTGAAAGAGGTTCACTGCCAGTCAGCAGGCAGCTGCAGGAATCAAGCGGACTGTTATTTGAAATGGTGGGATGCATTAGAGGAGGAAATAGACGAGAAAGACTGTCTCTGTAATTTCAAATTACACGTATCTCTAATTTGTGTCTTGGGTAGTATGAATATAATTGATTGAGGGTTGGGGTATTGTTGGGGGAATATTGCAAATCTGAGAGGCGAGTAATTTTCAAACCATTGAAAATACATGCTCTCTAACTGATGATCATGTATATGGTCATAAGAGATGGTTTCAAGGATGTGAAGCCATCTTGAGCAACAATTTGAAATTTTAATTTTTATCACAGCAGCACTAATCCAAGTTCTTCTTAGGTCTGTGCCGAGGAAAATATGGCTGCCATACGCACATAGCTCAAGTACTTCTCAACCCTTTACCTGCCTAGGTACCTGAGCCGTGTGTTTGGCATGCACCCTAAGGAGACTGCCAGACAGCTGAGCTTGGCAGTGAAGGACGGCTTGGTGGTGGAGACCCTGACTGTTGGTTGCAAGGGCTCCAAGGCCGGCATCGAGCAGGAAGGATACTGGCTGCCCGGGGATGAGATGGTAAGTCCAGTATCAGTTTATCTGGTTCCTAACACAAGCAACAGTAAATCCTTTTTCTAGATTCTCTGTTATTGGTTTTCAAAAGCAAGCAAATGTGTCCATGTCTCTCTGTCGGTGTATTCACATTGTGAGCAACATTTTTGAAGTAATCACTGGAGGTCCAACATTTCACAAAGAGCTGAACATTGGAAGTAAACTTGTTTAATGACAACTAAATAACTTTTCTTTCACCGTTTTTATGATGTAGTTTGAGCTGACAAAAAGAAATAGAATTTTAGCCAATCAGTTTGACAGGTCTTTAAAACATTTATTAGAAAGATTTTTTTCATGATTGGTTAACCTGCTGAGTATTGTTCTTGATTGATTGATCACTAGCAGGGCTTGACGCTAACTTTTTTCCCAAGGAGCACATGTGCTCCTAAGTTGAAAAAGTAAGGAGCGCACAAAGTACTTTAGGGGCACAATGTAAATTGATCAAATAATGTGTTTTCCGTAATAAACGTGATGCAAATAGACATTTACAAGAAAAATTATGTAATGAATTTGTATACAAAATGTACAGAAAGGTAAAATCATCAAGTTTTGAAAAAGTTGACCTATTGCAATTTAATTTTGTCTTTAATATTATTATCTTATATATATTATCTTTGCAATATGATTATCTTATATAATGTTATTACTATCCTAAAACATTCTCCAGGTCCTCTGAAACTCTGCAGGACTTAAGCCCACCGTGGGGTATGGCGCAGAGGACAGGATTTGGGGGAGTACAGGCTCGTTCAGGAGCTACAGCTCCATGGTGACCGCTTCCGGGTCTACTTCAGGCTCATCTCTGCTATTTGACGCGGAGCGCCGAGGTGCGTCACAGCGCGCAGACGCCGCAACATGCGCCCTCTCGCGCGCCGCTCAGCTCTGCAGCAGAGCAGTGCGCACTTGCGCCGTGGTAGCACATACACAATGAATGGGTTCGTCGGCGGAGGTTTGCGCTTTGCGCGCTCTGTGTGAAAAAGGCTTTATTTCCACCCTGCCCAGCAGCGGCACCGTGGCAAACGGTCCCTAAAGGCCTCTACACATGATCAGCTGTAAAACCGCTTTGCGCTGGCTGTCCCATTGTTTGTCTATGGAGAGGGCAGCAACGCCTGACAAGGCGGCACCGCTACCCTTGGTGTCGCGCACTGCTCTGATTTTCCGCCCGAGCGCTGCGCTCAGAGTTGAAATTATTTGAACTACGGGGAGAACGGAGCAGGCTTCCCCGGAGATCCACCGCTTAACCCGGTCAATCTCCTCCACACTTTGACTTATTTCCACGCTGCTGACAGTGGGACTTAAGCCCTTTTCACACAGAGCCCACAAAGCGCAGACCTCCGCCGACGAACCCATTCATTGTGTATGTGCTACCGCGGCGCAAGAGCACATTGTGCCGACAGTGGCTTGGAAAACCGCCCATAACCGTGTCACACGGGGAAGAGGGAAGGCGGCTGGAGTTCCTCCAACATTTGTGGTTAGATTATCATATTTTTTTATTGACAAAAATATAGGCTGCTTCGGCTGATTTTTTTATTTGCACATGTGCCCCTAAATATTTTTTACAGTTCGCACACATCTATTTTTAGTCGCAAATGCAAGTGAAACACTCGCACTGTCGAGCCCTGACTAGTTTGGTCTAATAAAACTAGATTATAAAATCAGAAAACAGTGAAAAATGGTCATCACAGTTTCCTAGAACCCAGTGTGATATCTTTTCTTTCTTTTTTTGACCAACAGTCCAAAACCCAAAGCTGGAATATGAATTATTAAAATGAAATTGATATCTTGATATTGATATCTTGCATGAAAGATTGATATAAAAAGCTCTTAAAATAATAGATCAACTAATTGTTGGCAGCTCCTTCAGGGATTATAATAATTCTAAATAGATATAAACCTTGTAGAATGGCTGCATGTGTCACTGTCATCTATGGGTGTGTCAGTATTTTTTTCTCTGGTTTAGACTGATTTTAGATTAGTGCTTCAGTTTATAATGGAGCTATGTCCCTATATGTCAATTGAAGAAGAAAAAAAGTGAAAATATACTCAGAACGACAAAGATCAGAGCAGCAATAAACAGACCATTTGGCTAATAAAGAAAAACTAGCCTGTTTGGTAACACATTTTCAGTGATGAAGTTGCCACATGAGCCCCATTTGATACAAGCACACAGATTCTGTCAGGTTATAGCCACCCATCTGTCAAGTTGCTCGCAGTGTGAACACCGTGTTAACAGAGTCACAGCACACAGACATTACAGCGAGCAAATATTTACAGTGATCAAGCATGATGAAGAAGGACTCGGTGGAGAAATAAGAGCCAGACAGAAGAGGTGTTTAAGTTCCAGAAGAAGAGTGATATTTTGTCCAAATCAAGGACTTAGTTCTGTGTGTATATGAAAATGCACACCATTAAATATGTATCATCTTTTGACGCTCAGGCAGCCCTCTGCTGTGCAGCATCATGATATTAATATTTTACCTTATTTCATGTCAAGTCCTTGTTTTCATTTTCTCTTATTTCCCTTGTTGGTTTACAATGTAGCGACGCTTTCACTTGTCTCTGTCACAGTAGCACTGTCATTTCACAGTGTATCAGTGCTACCTGGGGGAGCATCCTCATGCCTTTCACCATTTGTAATGCAAAGAGCACTTAATGGATTACTATGAAAGTGCCATTAACATGCATTTGGTGGCTGCTTTAATCCCGGTGCTTTTTTCACCAGGGTGCTAACACCCTGGCAGTATCTGTTATACTTTACCCATTCAACTATAACATAAGCATTACCAGTGAGCTGTAAGAAAGAAAGATCATGCAGGAAAAACAAAAATAACTGTTGTAATTTCTATCAGAATAGTTGTAATATATAAAGAAACTAATCTGCTTTTCTTGGTGCTAACACAAATTAGTTAGTGGTTTTAATTTTGACATGCTCATGTGCAAAACATGGAGCAGTTATATTGAATGAAACTACATTTTATAGATCAAATATTTGCATCAAAGGTTATTTATTACAGTTGCAGGCCAGAAGGAGTAGTTATGGACATTGTGGAAAGAAACAAGCAAGATTGGGGAATTTAATTGTTGTGGGGTCCATGTGTACAAAATAATTATATTATTGGAGACAAAAATAATCTCTCTCACAACATGACACTGTCCAATGTCCAGCGGAGCTCAGGTCGTTTAGCAGCAGGACTTTTAAACACTACTCTCTGAATCACTTGCAATCACAGGAGCCGAAAGCCGAGGGAAGCAAGGTAAGGACTGCATTGTTATTTTCAAATTCAGGGTTTGTTCCCTCATTTGATCCCCTCATTCTCTCCCCCCCCTCTCAACTAACATTCATTCTGTGAGAAATCGGTTCTGCCAAATGCAGTGCTGTCAGGGATTTGAGTGAATCTTTTTTTATGCAGGTTGCAGTAAGTCTAAACGGCATATTGTAATGTTCTGGTAAGCGTAAAAGTTGTAGGCTATATTAAAATTAGACGGAAAACCTTCTGTGCCAGTGGCAAGAAATTCAGTCTTCTCGCACTATGTAATGCTTGTGACTGAGTCTGCTCGCTGCACCTTAAACGAAATTATCACACAAGGTGAGAGCTGAAAACATATCAGGTTTCCGTTTGGAATTTGCCTACAGTGCATTATGTTAAACACACTGCCAGACGCTACTTGCTGTCATTCAGCTCTGCTGTAAAAAGCTTCATGAAAGTCCATTGCAGCTCTGTTTCTACGGAAGTGAACAGTGATCTTGCTGAAATATGTGCTCGCTACTTATCTACTGATGTGCCGTTGCTTGGTTAAAAACAAAAACACTCACTTGGGATAGCTCAAAGCCGTATCTGGTTCTCAGCAGTTAGACGCTGCCAACCAGAGTCAAATATCAAGTGTAAATATCAGCTTAAACACTAAACAGTGTTTGTTAATTGAATCATGTAAGATGACAAGCAATGCTAGCATAGCCGCAGGTTGGTAGCAAGCATCTGTGCGTTTGTAGTATTTTGGTCTTGGTAGTTGTAGTTCTCCTCAGGGGGTGGGGGTGGGGGGGTGGGTGGGGGGGGGGGGTGTTCTGCCGTGTTCTTAACTTCTGTCTGGCATGCATTTTTTTCTTCATTTTTAATTAATGAAACAGGGTGGAGGCGGGGGGAGGGATGTGTGGTTGTGGTTTATGTGGTTGTACTCTTTAGTTTTTTTCGTGCCTGCTGCTAGTAACACAGCCAACTGGCTCTTTTAGGTTAGCAATTACTTGGTGGACACAGTTTGAATGTGAGACACAGAGGCAGCTTTTCCTCTACAGGTGCCTGGATTCAATCCAGCTGGCATGTGCTGTGTCCTTGTTTTAACCTCAGGGATATTTACTCCTTAAACTGATAACCACAATGTTTCAACACTTATCATAACATTTAACTAGAGACCGTCTTGCGATGGGATCACTCCAGCTGCAATGCCAATCTGCATCTTAAAACAGATGTGGGCCAGGGGTGTAAAGTGTGGGGCGGGCCAGTGGTCTCTTTCCTACTTCTTACCCCCTACTTGTGGCGCCTTTGCTCGAACACCTATCTTTGCGCTTGGCCTTTACTGTGATCTCTACTACAAACTTGTCAAGTTTTGTGACTGCACCTTGCATGTTTGACACGCTGTCTTGTTGACAAAATCTGTCCACAGGCAGACAGACGGATATATAAACACCTTGCAAAGTACTCAAAAGGGTCTTTGTGGTAGTTCCTGTTAAAGTAGGTTTCTCACCACATTTTGCCATGATGATACACATAAACACACACACATAAAAATAGCACAGTCTAACTCTTAAAAACAAGTTTTTGAATGCACTGCCTCAAGTCAGATTGGATTAAATCCAGGTTTGCTCAAATTAATTGCCTTTATCTGTGAATCCATAACCTAAATTTAGCATATTTGATAGTGTGAATTTCATAGTTTAATAGTTTGAAAGTTTGGTGGTTAAACTAACTTGAATTGGCGCACTTGTGATGCATGATAATGAACGTGATATGATGTGTTGATGCACTTTGACAGTAACCATTTATACACTGTAAAAGAGCGCCCAAATACACGTTATGTCATTTGATTTACTAACCCACTATTTTGACAAAGAGTAGTGAACTTACTGATTCAAAAGCTGTTGTCATCTTTATACTGTCCTTGGTGATTTTACTTTGTTTTTAAACCTTTTTTCTGGATGCTCTACAAGGGTCTAAATGGATGATGCTCTCAGATGAATTTGTTTTTGTCATTGTGTGAGAACACTGTTAGTAATATTACTGAACGCAGGGTCTCCCGGGGAGTTTCATAATGGAGGTTGGCCACTTCGCTTGAATCAATGACCACCTCCACTAACATTAGAGATAATTTTTACAGTCATGAAATAAAATATTACCCATGGGGAAGAGGAATAGAGACACTGTTTCACACAGTTAATGCTGTGTATTTAACGTGTGTGGTTTATCATCTTGGTTAAACCATTTCCTGAAGGAAATCCTGAAATAGAGGTGGGCTCCATGCTGAAACATGCAGTGAGACGATATAGATGTATACTTTTTTTTCTGCTGTTAGTTATTTATAAACTGTTTTTTTTTTTTACATTATAACAATACAAGCCATGTTTCATATCGCTCAAGAGGACCGTTTCATGGCGGTATTTGACTAATTTGAATTTTGCATTACAGTAATGAAGTGCCTTGAAGTACAGTGCTTTGATTTGAGTTCATTTTCTTAATAAGCCAATACCAGACATTTATATCAGGCTATTCAATCCATCTGCAATTATTCCTTTAATTTCTAAAATTTGTTTTATTAACAATACACATTGATTTTTATTTATTTGTAATTCCTTAAAGTAGTAGTATGCGATATTCAGAGCAAATCTATGATTTAGAGTTTTATTCAGGTTGTGTGTACAGCGTTCTCAATATGGAGGTGACTGAGTTGGCAGCTGGCAGCTAATGGTTCTAACAACAGCAACAGTACTGAGAGAGGCAGCAGTGTTTACAAGTGGGCATGGGCGTTGCGCTTCTCTGAAGATGTCGTGGGTTGGGGTGGCGTTATTAGTGGTGACCACCAAATTAATGCAGTGCGGAGTGGCATCAATTAGCTAGCCAGTGGGATACATACACAGGGACTTACATAGACGCACCGCTGGCTCGTTTACCACAACAACGAACGGAGAAGCTCAGACTATAACAAACACACACACACACACACAGTGTGACTTCATTCTCTTCTCAGTATGCCATTACTACCCTACATCTTTACATAACAAATACTTGATTGCTGCTCTGTTACTACTCTGTGTATTGTATACAGGTCCTTTAAACCGTGGTAGAGAATTTTATCCATGTTATTCACGCCTACCCTCGAGTGGTATGTAGCACTCAGCTCTTAACCTTGTTCGTGCAAAGCATGTAATACACAGAAAAAAATAAATATTAACAGATTTGAGGATAATTATGCACCCTCTTAATTTTGTGGCAGTTGCACTTCTGTAAGTAATATGTTGTTGGTAATACATCTCATTTGACATGAGCATCAACAGGGGGAGGTGTGAACACTAGCCAAAATCTTGAAATGCAGTCAAGAATTTACTGTCTGAAAATAGTTTTTATGAGATAAAAACCAGTGGAAAACTTGGTTAAGCTTAAAGAAGTGCATACTCGGTTACAGGGCAGTGTCAGATTTATGTGGATCTGTCAGACTACATGTGATGCAGTTTACCTCTAATAACAGAAGGAGGTGGAGATGAATCCTGGGGTTTGTGTGTAGGTCGCTAGAAAGCATGCCCACCCTGCTGCTCAGCCTCTCTCGGCTCTCTGGCATGTCCCAGCTTGAGACGGACAGTGCAGAGCTGTTAACCAGAGTAGGAAAGCAGTGGGAAAGATGGCTTAAGGCAGCCAACCCTCTGGCTGCGCAGCTCCTCCTCTATCACCATCCAAGTCCCTGCCCTTGTTGGCAGCTTTTAGTTGAGGCCCATTTCTCCCTCCAAAACACACAGAGGTATTTAACGGATGTTTAGAGAAGTGATTTGAACCCCAAAGCAGATTCTCTGGCTTTGTTTTCAAGTTTTTTTTCCTGATTTTGCTGGTAAGGGCTTTGGTTTAAATCAGTTTTATCAGAATGTCTGATATTTGCATGACATTATTTTAACAAGCATTATGTTGCTGTAATGATATCTGATTTTGATCAGGCCCAGTCCTCTCCACACTCCTGTAGAAACTCACTTTGCTGTGGAACCACAGACGCTGTGTCTAGGCTCAGAGAGCTGCAGCTTTTGAAGTCAGCCACTTGTCTTTCATCAGACAGCCCAACAATAGGGAAGTGCCTCTTGACATTCGACAGAACACGAGGACCATTTCTATATTGTCAAGTGTTTGTGTGGGTGAAGAGTCTGTTACGCTCTAAAAAGTAGAAGTCCCTTTGAGGAATCTGTGGATGGATTTTCTGTGTGTATTCACACCTAGATGAGCTTTAATTGTGAACTCTGGAGAAGTTTCTCTCCTTCAGTTCTGATTATCTGAGAATATGTGGACACAGTGGTTGCACTTAACAAAGACTACTTTGTTCCCAGTTGAACCTTTTGAAGTGGGGATGTGATCTGACCATTATGATAAAAAAATATATTGATTTATTAGAGTAGGGTGCAACAAATGATCACTTACCTTACAACGTATAAAGATGATATATATGCAATATATAGAGATGCAGTCCCAAATTCGATCGACAAATAAATTGATTGATCTTAAGAATCTTTACTAGCATCCCATGGGTGGTAAAAGTTTAAAGAATATTTGATTCTCGTGAGGTATGGGCTAGGCAATATACTGATATTACATCAGTTTGGGACTACATATCGTCTTGGATTGTGGATATCATAATATGGTGTTGTCTCGTCTTGGTTTTAAAGGCTGCATTACGGTAGAGTGGTTTAATTGCCTGAACTTACCAGGCTGTTCTAGCTGTTCTATGATTTGCCTTTAGCCACTTAGTTATCACATCCACATTACTGATTATTATTTATTAAAAATCCAATTGTGTAAATATTTTGTAAAAGCACCAATAGTCAACTCTGCAATATTGTTGCAATACTCATATAGAGGTATTTGGTCAAAAATAACTCGATATTTGATTTTCTCTACATCGCCCAGTTGTAGGTGAGGTATCAGACAGTTTAAGATTATCCCTTAACAGAGCCCCCAATGAACCTCTGGATTTCAGAGTGTGGAGTGCTTACTCCTGGCAGGCCCTGCTTCTGATCAGGGCGTTTTGTCTCGTAGCGACACAGTAGGGTGGTTGTCAGAGCTGTCCTCAATCCTTTTGTCCTCATGACTATTTATGGTTGTGTTTGGGCTCGTTTCAGCCCTACACTTCCGACAGAGGGGCTTTAAATCTGTATTTTGCTTCTGCAGTGTACGTTCTTGTTAAAGTCTTCTGCTTATCAGGGTTATTTTGGAAAACACTTTCCTGGTAGGATGTTCTTTTGTCATCAAAACCACCATGTTGAGCAACCTCTTATCAGTGAGAATTCCTCAGAAAGTTCTAAACCCGATCGTCACTGTAATTATAAGCTAAATCTAGTGTGCTTCCTCCAGCCTACAGCACATGAACACATGGAGAAAAGATCAAAAAAGAGACTTTTTTTTTCTTCAGGTTTAATTTAGCAGAACTCAGTCACGACTTTCCTGCTCTCCCCTACTAAGTCAGTCCAGACTGTGAGTGGGAGTAGTTGGACTCTTGACAGACTGATAAGTAGTTGAATTTTTAGCGGTTCATACTTCCCGTCTCTGTGCCCTTCACTTGAACCCCTCATGGAAACTACTACTGCATCATGTATGCATTGGCATTCAGGAATGCATTAAATAAGTTGTCAGATTTGTTGTCAGATTTGCCTCGTTCCTTCCAGCCATGAACACAAACACACAGATAATTTGATATTAAACTTTAAATTATCACAGAATAAGGCAGTTTATGACCTTTTTTTATTAAGAACATTACAATATGCAATGTATACCTTTTTACAGTGATATAAAGTACAGCACCTGAGTTTTGGTGCTAATACCTTTTATGATACTAAAATTCCCAGCTTTGATAAATATAACAGATTTTTTTCCCCTGAAGAGTTCCAGAACCAAAGTTCTCAGATGGAAAAGGTTGTGCACCTGTACAAGATTTTTGCTGTAGTCTGAATTTTTGTTTGAATCAAGAACTATCTGATTAAAGACTACAAATCTGACCTGGTATTCAGAACCATTGTTTGCTATTGGGCAGATTTTGATACATGCTGCTTTAGACTAGTTGTTCGATCAGAGAAGTCATTCTTAAGACTCTTACGCACACTGGGCTCACATGTGTATTGAGTAAAATTGTGAAAATACACTATTCCCCATTTTTGGGGGGGACCGTCTGGAACTCCTATGGACCCCAGGTTGAGATCCACTGCTTTAGACACAATTGTGGTATGTACAAAAAAAGTATTGGAAGTTTGATACCCAGCCCTAAGGCAAACCAATAACTATCTAATAAGAGGCACCAGACATTTCATTTGAATAAACAAAGCGCTGCTTGGTGAAACGCACATCAGTTTTATGTAGGTGAGACAAACCCTCAGCCCCTTTTTTTTTTTTTTTTTTTAAAGAATGGTTCAAACCTGTGTGTAGTTGTATAAAAACTACATGTACTTGATACACCGGAGTGTGGTACATGCACAAACTTGTCAACAATACACATAACTGCTTTTTTATGTAGTTAATGGATTCTGGGTATAAGTCAGTGATCCCCCCCCCCTTTTCCCTGTGACACTCAATCATTACATAGTTTTTAAAACTTGATTTATTCCGGAAAGGATTCAAAAGATGTTTTTTTTAATCGGAGTGAAGTTTGGCAATAATACAATTCTACATATTCACACTTGGGGGCAACTCTGTACAACAGGTTTATTTTTTTCTATTGGCACTCAGCAGCTCCACAAGCAGAAAAAAAGGTCTCTTGCTGAAAAGTGTATTTTTATAGAAGGGTGGAATTTTTTTTTCTCATCCATTTTTCCACCTACATCTTCTCAGCAGGTTCACAATTTTAATTGGCGACCTTGTGGCACAATGCCATGAACTCAATGCTGTCACCAACTGCTGTTGCTAAGGCCAGCGTGACTTTTCTAAATTAGCTTTACAAAAAAGTCACCTCAGTTTCTTTACTCTTCCTTCATTGAGTACTGTTACGACAGGTTTATTTCCATATTCACCTTCAGGAGGAAGGTAGAATTTCTAAAAGAAATATTTTGATTTTTTTCATGGAGCATATAATATAATATATTTTTAAACTATTATTATTAAATTTGCATTTAGAGTGCCTCATGTAGAATTTCATTGAAATGGTGTATATTGCAGTTTCTAGGGAAATACACTGAGTATGCCTAGATGTAACCAGATCTGGAATTACTTAGTCACCCTAGCTGGAATTTATTAACTCTTATTTTCTATGCAGTGCCGGGATTTGTTGGTGCATTTTTAAACTGTAGCAACTAAAAAGTAGTGACACTTTTTGTATACCTTGCGGCCACTTTTAACAGGATTCCAGTCAATATTCTTTTTTATTCAGCTTACAAAGTGGAATACAAATTATACAAATGCAAAACAAATTCAGTTACAGGCATCTAGATGTTTTTTTTCCCTTTTGCTTCATCGAGTGAGGAGGTCGAGTTCAGTGGTGTGGGATCGAATTTGAATCACCCTGACACCCAGGAGTCCAATCAGAGCCAGTTTTAATTCAGGATGGAAGATGAAGAAGGTTGTTTGCCCCCCCCGCTGTGGTTTGCAGGTTGGAGGGGGGGGTCACCCAAACTCTGTGTTCTGCTGTGTCTTGCCTGCAGGAGTGGGAGGCAGAGAGCCACGACTGGTACTGCTTTGAGTGTCACCTACCGGGCGATGTCCTTGCATGTGACAACTGCTTCCGGGTTTACCACCTCAAATGTCTGTCAGAGGACTTCAAGCCCAGAGATGGAGGGTCCCACTGGCAGTGTGTCGTCTGCAGGGTAGGTGGTCACACAGGGAGTGTGTACAAACACTCTTTAATGGCTATTATGTATGGTTTTACTTCAGAGGGCAGTTTAAGGATTTGGAATAGGGTTTAGAGGGAGAAGGTAATCAAGTCAGTAATTATGTTTTAAACAAAAGCTGGCACCTTTCATAAGGTGATGTAATGAAAAAAAAACAAGTGATATAATTTAAGCCGCAGACTCTCTAAGTGATTTTGGATATAAAATGTGCTTCTACAAGTTATGATCTTTCATCCTTCCACACTGTGATACTGGAAATCTTTGTTACTCTCATATGTAATAAAATGTAATTTCTTTAATAATCCAGTGTCGACAGAGACAAACAAGTCAGGTTTGTCCTGCAGAAATCTTCCTGACTCAACTGCATTTCTTTTAATCTCTCTCCCAATTAAAGGTTTATTTTCACAACATTCAAGAAATTAGTTTATTGCAGAAACATAAAATGTGTTAGTAGTGTCAATATTTGCCATTTAAACTAATGTTGGTGTAGCCAGAAAGCCAATAACTACCTGTTGGTTTCACTGCAGGTGCCAACAGAGATGGCTGATAAAGAAGAACAATGAACTATTACTCAGTTTTTCTCATTTTTTCTTTCTCTCTTGTTGGCAGCTCTTTTTTGGTGTCTCGTTGTCTTTATTTCCCTCTTGTTCCGCCTTTGTGTATTTTTGCTGTGTTTTAGTGACATGAATTGGGCGGTTATATATAAACATTTTAAGTGTATCAGTGTATGAGAGCATTTGGATTACAGGGTCAGGTCAAAACTAATGTAACCTTTCCCTCTCTCTTTCCTGGTCCCCCCTGCCTTCTTGCAGGGCAGTAAAAAGAAGAACCTGAACAAACAGGAGATGAGTAAATACCTGCGCTTCATCGTGCAGCGTATGAAGGAGAGGGTGAGAACAACTATCTGTTTCTTCTGATGCTTCAGCCCATCAAACCTACTTGTGACAAAACAGCAGATTGTTTTCCAAATCCTATTGCTCAAATTCTTTTCATATTTCTTCAGTAAGAAATACATATATTTTTTGGCAGATTTAGGCTCTATTTTGCAAGGTGACTGATTGTTGTGTTGTGCTTGATTTTACTTGAGTTGGACTGTATTGATTATTGGATATTATGACCACTGTTAACAAGAAAAAGCTGCATTATTCTTATACTCTAAGAATTTTTAATTTGTTAAATGAATGCAGCATTGCATGAAAGTCACTGCAGTGATTATAAATTGCTGTTCACCTTGTCGTCCTTTTTCATACTTGCACTGGGCCAGATTATTTAGTACCCAATTGAGTTACCAGCACAAGTTTGTTCACATTGTATCTTGACAGGTGACTGTCACTCAAATACTCACACTAGTCCATCCAGTCAGAAGCTTGAAGACAAAGGGATTTTTGAAATTACTCAAAATATGAGTTTTTCTATCTTGAAATAATAATTAAAAACCTATCTCAACATCATTTCTGACTGCAGAAAGCACGAGTTGTATAATTTTAGTTGGACTTGAAGGCCTTAATTCTTAAACCAGTCTGCAGTCTGTGGTTGTAGCTTCGGTTGTGTTCTCTGAAATATTCCTGTAGTATAACCACCCAAATGTAAATGTTCTAAATATTGATGGGGATCCCCCCTCCCCCCCCCGGAAATCTACGCCTATGTAACTACCCTCAATTAGGAAAAATACCCTTCATTCTCTCTTTACCCCACCCTTCATCTGGATTTTCCTCCATTACATCTCCGTCTACTTGCTCGTCTTCAGCACTTCCTCAATCCCTCCCTTTCTCTTTTCCCTCACTCTCCAGTCTCAACTCTATTAAAGTTGTGTTAAATCTCATTACTTGTCCCCCACAACTCTCTTGTTCTCCCCTTTCTGTCTCCCTTCATCCCACTGCTCCCTTTAAAAATCGTATCAGATCTCATCAGTTGCCCTCCATGTTGCCTCCATGTGTCCCTGCTTCATTACTCCTTCCCCCCCAACTCTCCATAAAGTCGTATTAAAACATTATCCCTCTCCATTTGCAGGCAGTGGACCTGAACAAGAAAGGGAAAGATACTAAACATCCCATGTACAAACGACTGATCCACACTGCGCTGGAAGTCTCAGACATCCAGGAGGTAACCATCATGCCCAGCGTCTTCTGTTTAATCATTATCACTTACTGTTAAACCCTTTTTCTAATTCATTCATTTATTCATCTGAGGATTTTTTCCTCCATTTCCAGTCTCTCAAGTTTAAAAACAAAATGAAAAGACAACTGCCTTGTTTCTATTAATTATGTATGTGTGGACATTGAGGATAACGATGTCGTTGGAAAGTGTAAATCACAGATAATCTAGAAATATGTGTTTCATGCCTTTTTGTACAAATTTGATTGAGTAACTTGGAGAAGGAGTGCCAATTGCTGCTATCAGGTGCTAAGGGTTGTAAATTACCTTGTAAATTGTCTGAACTACTGAGCGCTTTGTTGAATTTATGTTTTATTTTATTAGCATTTATTGTGGTTTTAGGTCATATTGGTAACACCTTATTTTATTGTGAGTTTGGTCATATTTTGTGTGTGTGTGTTTGTGTGTGTGTGTGTGTGTGTGTATGAGGGGTCAAACGTATCAGCGAACACACACACACTGCATTCACTGCGTACTTGATACGTGTAAATTGCGTGTGCAACCATCACCGTGTACTTGCTTCGCGTGCACTGCGTGTGCATTCACCGTGTACTTGTTACACATGCAATGCGCGTGCAATGCCTGCACACGCCTAGACGTGTGGTTATTAGACGTGCATGCGTAGACACGTCATGTAATCACAGGGGTCAAAAGTGTCAGCTGTTGAAGCAACAGCGCGTCGTGTTACGGACGTGTGACACGTAGCATCGCTATGCTAACTCTGCTAATCTGACGTGCGTGCGTAGACACGTCATGTATCACAGGGGTCAAAAGTGTCAACTCTTGAAGCAACAACGCATCGTGTTACGGACGTGTGACACGTAGCATCGCTATGCTAACTCTGCTAATCGTACGTGCGTGCGTAGACACGCAGGTGTAGTGTATGTGTAGCGTTTGTAACGCGCTGTACACGTGTACCGATAAGACGTGTGAGCGCGTTGTTTGAGTGGAGCGCACAACGCCTGCGCGTCATGTAGCGGGCGTGTGTGTAACACTCATGTCTCCATAGTAACCCTATGTTAAATGTAGGCGTGCGCTCACACGGTTTGATTAGATCTGATGTGTCCTAAGTAGGCGCAAGTGACGCGTTGTAGTGTGGTTGGGTGAAACGTTTGACCCTTCATAGTGTGTGTGTGTGTGTGTGTGTGTGTGTGTGTGTGTGTGTGTGTGTGTGTGTGGTTAAGCAGGACTCCAATGTGCTGTGGTCAGTGGTGCATCACACCCAGCCTCTGCCAGACACTGGAGCACTGCCTAGTGTGTGTGTGTGTGTGTGTGTGTTAATAAGTATACTGCCCTCTCCTGGACCCCTCACGTCGGTCACCAAACACACACACACACACACACACACACACACACACACACACACAGCATGTGAATAGACCTCTTTGTACTTGTCGCCTCTCTGTCTCACCAACTGTCTCTCTCTCCATGTTTTTTTCCTCATTCTGTCTCTTTCTCTCTGTCTCGGTGTCTCTTTCCCTCTCTCTGTCTGTGTCTCTGTTTGTCTGCCTCTCTCTCACAGAACCTGTCTGAAGGAAAGTATAAAAGCTTCGAGGAGTTCAAAGCAGATGCTCAGCTCATTGTTCACAACACTGCCATCTTGTATGGAGGTGGGTCAGAGTTTCAATATGTTTCCCTCTGTGGTTTAAAGTTTGATAGTAGTGCTGATACAATAGTACCAATGAATTGACACTGAGCTTTGTACCAATAAGACACTTTTTTGACATTTCATGTTAAGAAGTTATTAAAATACAAAACCCCTATTTTATTCAACAAAAGACGCTAAAATTGTCAGCAGTTGATTGATCACAAGCAGTCATACAAGAACAACAGCTTTGTATTAATCAAAGTTTAATTGTTTTTATTAAATCAGGAACTATCTGATCAGAGAGTGAACAAGATAATGTTCCTTAAAAGATATTCAACAGTTGATACAAGACAGTTTTCAAGTAACAAGTATTGACCCAGCACAATCTGTATATGGAATTTTATGATTCTGGTTCTTTTATTCATTTTGAGACAATGCTCTCTGTATTCTCAGAGAGCATCAGATGATTTGGTCAGTTGTCCTGGGAAGTACAAGGATATTAGGGAAATTTATAACTGTGATGTGGTCGGAGTTTTTCATAAACAAAATATTAGATCACACGGGGCAGGAATTTCACGAGGGCCACGAGGGCCATCACCCTTGTGCCCTCCTCATTTGGCCCTGTGCCCTTGAAAAAAGTATCTGCCCTAAGGCCACAGTGGCCTTGATGCCCTGCCTGCACTGCCCCAGGTGATTTTGCGGTTTTCTCCTCTGCCTCTTTCCTGTTAACACGACTTTGATACCTGCGTCTATTGAGAAAAAAATAATGTGACATTCTGGAGTCGTTGGGCAACATCAAATGAGACGATGCGTAGCCTACATCACCAGTGGGGGGGTTTGATTCGAGCCTGGCTTGAACCGCTCGGACGGGCTGTAACGACAGTTTGACACCAGTCTATCACCGGCCAACCAGGAGGCTTCATCAAACGCCCGGGCAGGGATCGGTACCGAGACCCGGTATTAAACAACCCAAGGCAAGTTTAATTAAGACCGTAATAATAGTAAGCTCTGCTATTATCGGCGTTACTTTTTAAAGTTTCGGTTTCATGTATCATCATTCTGCAGCCTCTCTCCTGCTCTCTGCATGTCACCCCTCACAGCGCACACACACACAGACGCAAACTCAACAGCAGAGAGGCTGCGGTGCAGATGAAGGGAATATAACTTCAAGATTACTCTAGTTGATGACAACTACGCTTGTTACTGTGAGTAACTGCAATAAAACCTCTGCCAGCCAAGCAAGTACTTTATCAATACATGTGATCAGCATGTAGAAGGTCATATTTCAACCCGCTCTGTCCGCAGTCTCTCATTCACCGCTATTATGATTTATGATCGCTGTTGACACAAGTACATCACGCTTGCAGTGCTAACAGCAAAGCGTTAAAGACAAACTAAATGAAAGCTGTCTGTATGTAGGCTAACACTTTATCTGAACATGTACCTGAGGCAGCCGACCTGCAGACAGTGAGCTTCCTCGGTAGAGGAGGGACAGAGAGCAGGATGAATGATTGATACTGATGTTTGTCTTCATGCTGAGATAACGTGACTTTCTTCACTCAGTATTGTGATGTCAGGAGGAATATTTATATTCCAGTCAGATATTATTGGGTTTTAAATAGTGACTTTGTTGTTGTAAACATGACTGTTGTTGCCATGGACTGTATAAAACTATATCCTGTGTAACTGACCTATAAATAAAGCATCAGGAGGTGAGGTGTGTGCATGTGTGTGTGTGGAGGAGAGGGGAGAGGGAGATGCTGGTAGAGAGATAGTGTGTGTTGTTAGATACTGTTAATGTCACTTATTATGCTTCTGTGCATTGATAGCTCTTTTTAGTCTGTTTTTGCATCATGTTGAGGAGGGCCATGCCTATGTATATAAATATATATGTATGCAAAAAAAAAGTGGATCGGTTGCTCGCTGCTAAAAATGTGGCCCATTGACATGATCTGGTTTTGAAATGCAGCCCAGTTGAAATAGTAATTGAATAGCCCTGCTGTAGTTTGTTTGTTTGTTAGCTATCTAACAACACATCAGAAATAAATATAAGCCAGTCTTGTTCAGTGAATCAGTTTATCATGTACACTCAAAAAATATTTAGGCCTATTTAAGATTGTTTGCTTATAAATACATAAACCTGGTTGTTCTATATTTAAACACATTGGGTTTATTAGTGCTATTAAATAAATCACATTATTACCTATTATACTCATTACTTGAGCTTGTTTTATTTATTTATTTATTTCACAGATAGTTATACATCCTTAGTCCTTAAATTAAATTCATTATGGACGTGGACTTAAAATCATTGTTTTACTGTATGGGCTCGCTGCCCTGGCTTTTGGCCTTTGTGCCCTCAAAAAATTGACAACATGAAAGGCCAAGTGGCCTTGCCCCTAAAATGATGAAATCCCAGGCCTGAGATCACAGCAGGCTTTAGTTTTTTGTTTTCAGCCCACTGGGGACTTTTAATCCCTTTTAAAAAAATTGAATTATAATAAGTCAGAAAGACATAGTTCATAGGATGTACTGTATGTATCCATCATTTTCTGTAGCCTTTGGCCTTATCCACAATTGGAAATATGGCCCAGCATTTGGAAAACAAGATGAACATGAATCACAAAGAAATATTAGTCCAAAAACATAGCAGTTACTTGAGAGTTACATATATGTTTCTTGATGGAATATGGACAGAAGCAAAAGTGGCTATCAACAATCGCTGTCCAAAAATACATATCATAGAGGAATTTATTCAAAGTCAGTCATGATTTCTTTTTGTTCTCTGGCTCTCATTAATTCAAATATCACTTGTGTTATTAGTCCTAATGGATGTCTTTTGGTTTAAACATATTTCACTTAACTCTTGGTTTAACCTGACCTTTTCTTTCTTGCTGACTTTCTCATTGAGCATCGCGTGTTTTTGTTTTAGTTAACAGCGACCAGGCGGAGATCGCACGGCTGCTCTTCAGCGACACATGCCACGAGGTAACATTGTTTTACTTTTCTCTCTCACACAAGTCACAGCAGTGAGATCCAGTTTTGTTCGTAAGTTTAGAGCTTTTTAGTGTACATCTCTTAAACGTGTTGAGTCCAGATTTGTTCAAAAAGTCGTAAAAGTTCTTGTACATTAAACTTTTCTTTGTTTTTCTTTCCCTCATTGATCTTTTCCCCCTCATTCTTTCTCTCTTCCCCTATCTCTTCTCTTCCAGTTGAATGAGTTGTTGTTGTGCAAGAACTGCTTCTATCTGTCGAACGCCCGGCCAGACAACTGGTTTTGTTATCCCTGTGTAAGTACAATCAAACATGCTTTCGTCAGTTTAATGGGACAGAACTGCTCTTTAGTGACAGATGCATAGTTTTATTTTATTAGACCTTATGTTTATACAGAGGGGATAAAGTTCTCCGGCACAGCTGCAGTGCGAGCATTTCACTTGCATTTGCCCCTAAAAATATACATACATGTGCGAACCGGGAAAATGATTTAGGTCTACAGTGTGCGAGTAAACACAACCTACTTTTTTACCGTAATCGGCATCAGACGTTTATTCATCACTAACCGATCAAATAAATGTATTTTAAAACTCGCTCTTTTGGCTCTGATACAGCCCATTGCACTGGGCTTTGTAACAATGTCCCGCCTACAGCCCCCTCTGATTGGTTACATGGCACAAGTGATAGCCAATCAACACTGACGCCTGTGCACGCTTTCACATCATGTCACATTGAGAGACAGAGCTCAGACAGAGCGGGAGAGGCTCCGGTAAGCCAGCAGTAATTTTGAAGGTAAGGTAACAGAAACCAGACAGAAACGAAAGCTGCAATAAAAATCCTCTATGCTGAAGTTTCAAAGTCACCACCACAACATTATATGATCCATTTCAGTGGTGACATGCTTGCCCAGAGGGGAAATTTCGACGTAACTGCCTGTTTAATTCACATCAAGCGCGATACAATTTTGCAAACAGCCTAAATGATTTAGCTTCTAAAAATAAATAGCACCAAGGCAAAAAAGAGATGTAGGTGCTATAAGTCAGAAAGTCTGGTAAGCTCTGAAAGTTTAATCTTTATTTATAAACTCATTATGCTATAAAAGTTTAATCTGAAAAGTAACTACTAAAGCTATAATTTTTTGTTCGTTTTGATAATAAACACGTTCCTTTGCAACACATACATTTCTATTTCTTCATTTTGTGACCGCAACACCATAGTACAAAAATAAGAACACAGCAGCCAGTCTTGCTATATTAAGCCTGGCTCAGACCAAAGATTTGTGACAAGATGAGTTGAAACATGCAACTACTTGCAATGCGCTGTTCTGCAACGTTCTAAAATCGTGCTGGTTCACACCAATGCAACAAGACGAGATGGTGTATCATCTCTATGCAACAACTTTCTGTACCTCCGCTTTGTTTGCAGCTTTTCAGGCTTAATTTTGTGACTGAATATGATTTGTAGCTTCCTAAAATATGAATGAGGATAGTGATAGTGAGATACTGGCTACAGTTGCATTTGTGATGAAACGGCGAAAAACAAACAAAACGAGCATCAGATGAGCTGGGCTTTAAATGTAATCTGAGTTTTGCTTGTTAGATAGACACTGCTGGGATGTACCGTTGGTCTATTAGGTCTCTTTGTGTGTGTGTTACCTTGGCAGAGCCCCAGCCATGACTTAGTGTGGGCCAAGATGAAAGGATTTGGCTACTGGCCGGCCAAAGTCCTTCAGAGGGAGGAAAACCAGGTGGACGTACGCTTCTTTGGCCACCAGCACCAGAGGTCAGCACAGCTGGCAGACATCAACAACAATACACTGCATCACATTTCTCTACGATTAGTCTTGGCAGAATATCAGCAGGTTGAGATTGCTTGTGTCCCTATTACTACAGGGCACCTTCATTTTTATAGCTCTTCAGAACACACTCAAAGAAAGAGTGTTCCTCCTCTTCTCACAGGTGTACACACCATTTAGAAAGCAACTTTATGCTGCTGAAACTAGTTTAAGAACTTCTCAGCTTTGAAGTTATTGTAGTGAAAAAGGAAATCCAGCTTCTTAACCAAACTTCAACCAAAACAAACGAAAACACAATTAGAATAGACTGATAAATTTAAAAGGTGCAGTGCTGTTTGGTAAATTACGAGCACTGTTTTCCCTTGCCCTTCCCAGAGCGTGGATCCCCTCAGACAACATACAAGACATCAAAGTGAGTGTCCAGCAGCTGCAAGTGAAGCGCAGCAATGGCTGGAAGAAGGCCTGTGAGGAGCTGGAGGTCTACCAGCGCTTCCTGAGGGAGGGCCGTTACTGGAAAACAAAGCTGGAGGAGGGCAACATGCCGTCACACCAGCAAATGCAGCAGAGCCAGAGCCAGAGCCAGAGCCAGACCCAGACCCAGAGCCAGCGGCAGCAGCAGCAGCAGCAGCAGCAGGAAGGCAGTGGGAGAACGGACAGGCTGGAGCGGACGGACGAAGCAGAGTCCAGCATCTCCTCCACCAGCAACGAGCAGGTCCGACATGTAAGTGGAATGATTCAGGAGTCACTTAGACACAAAAACATGGGAAAACACATTATTAAATAAATAGCGTACTCTTCTTTTTGCTCACAAGCAAGCTGTTTTACTGTAGTTCATCATGTTTTTAATGTAGTTGTAACTGTGTATATGTAAATAAAATTTTCTATGAAAAATATTTTGAAATAGTTTTCACAGAAAATTAAAGTTAATAGAAAAAAATTACAAGACTAATTGTTTCTTCAAGTTAATGTGGGCCTTTCTGTGATCTTGAAGTTTCACAGACCAGTCAAACAGCTTCTGACACAACTGTCACAACTCATACATCATTCATGCCTTTTTACCTCAACTTCCTCCAGGGGTTTTCACTTCTCTTGTACCTTTCTGTCAGGTCTGTCAAAATAAACATGGATCTGCTGCAGACAAAAACCAAAACAGAAACACCAAACCAACATGTAATTTGGTGTGAAACATATTTATACCAAAGTTATACAGTGATTTAGAGAAAATGGATGAAAGAAACAAAGATGAGACAGCAAAGTCATGAGGTAAACTGTCAGGTGAAATACATTAAAATGACAAGTGGAATACTGTAGCGATAAACACAGCAAATAGTGCCACCTGGTGGCTGAACTGTACAACAATGAATGATAAAGTAGAAATAAAATGATAGCAGAAAATGAAGGTACGCACCACAGTTTAGCTGGGCAGTAGTGGTATTCTTAAATTAATTATTATAAACTACCTCTTGCCTTTGTAAAGAGGCATACAAAGATAGATGTAATTTAAAGTATTTATTTGTAAAGTAGTGTCTTAGGCTCTTACATAGTTGGCAGTATATATATTTTTTTAAAGTTCTGTGATAAATTCTCACATTCAGAGGAATGACAGCATTTGGCCCAATAAAGTTTTTAATGTCCTTTATGATTTTCTGTACAGTCTTATTTTAAAGTTCGCTTTTTAATGTAGATTTCAGATTTTAAACAGCATTTTCCTAAGGCATCTATGACATTTGTCACTTTGCCACTTTTCTCAAATATGTAGATTAATAAAAGCATTTGTAAATATTGGTTTTAAAATTTTAGCTTCCAGTTTCCCTCATAATTACCAAGTAAAATGCTTTAAATTAATTCCCCACATTGTTTTCTCAGTCTTTATTGGAACAAGAAAGGAACACCCTTCAGATACTCCTTACATTTTACTAAATGTTAATTTTTGTAATATTTTGTTCTTTTATTTCCTTTTTCCAGCTCAAAGGCAGCCTCGAACCCAAGGCCAAGAAAAGCCGTCGATCTCAAATGGTCGAGCCCAAAGAAGAAGCCAGTGTAAGTTAGACTCACGTCATCACGCACACGATAATCTAATAACTGTTAGTAGTTTGACACATTTGCTGTCTGTTTAGGTTAGAATGTGTTTTATCTATGAGCTTATTGCGAAGCTAGATTGCAAGATTGGACAGATATTACAAATATGTTTTGGGTTTGTAGGTAAATCTTTGTCCTTATCAAAATTGTTTGTCTTTGTTTGTTCATATAAAAACTGAATGCAGTCTGAAGATTTTTCTTTAACTCTTAAAATATATTGCTAATGAGCTGAAAAAAAAGAAGATAAAAACCAGACTTTTGCACTCAAACAGCTGACTGATTTCTATTTAATATGTACTAGACCAGCTTTATTGTCTTTGCAACAGAAGGGAGTGAATTGTCAGGAAAATGCTGAGATGAATAATATATCCCAAAAAGTAGGCATTAAAAGGTTTTCAGAAGCACTGAATTTGAATTTTCTCCAAAAAAAAAAAAAAAAAAAAGAGGATGAGGATGATGTATTAGAAACTCTTGAATTTAATTCAGAAATATTTTCTCTTGCGTGCTGTAGGCAGTAATATTATTTAAGAAAATGTTTTTGTATCTGATTGCAAGCTGCAGGGAGACATTATACATCTATAAACTAGGATAAGTATTGTTGCTGCCATCACAACATCATCAACTCACAATGGGCACGTGTCAATATAAAACTTAGTTTAGTTAATAATTTTTCATCAGTTAATACATAAAAATTTGTCATTTTGTTTGTTTTGTTTTATCTGACTTTCAGTCTGTGACTCCATGCTCGTCTCTCCATCAGGACCCAGAGCCAGAGATGGAGGCGGTCAGCTCCAGTCAGGAGATCCCAGTGTCCTCGGCGCCCCAGCAGCCCGAGAAACTATCGGTGTCCACGCAAACTAAGAAGGCCAGCGGAGGGTCACCGCGCACGCTGCACCGCGGCACTCAGACCAACAGTGACGGCGCCTGCCAGAACATGTGCCACGAGAAGTATACCAAGGTCTTCAACGACGTCAAGGAGATGATGAAGGCTGACAACAAGAGGGAGACAGAGAGGGTCGTCAGAGAGGCTCTGGAGAAGGTGCATTTGTGTTTGATGATCAGGAAAGGTCTGCATCTGTGAGAGTGTCTCAGTTTAAATACCGAGTCTGTCTCTGTCCCCTCAGCTCCGTGCAGAGATGGAGGAGGAGAAGCGTCAGGCAGTGAGTAAGGCAGTGGCAGGAGCTCAGGCGGAGATGGAGAGGAAGTGTAAACAAGTGAAGGAGAAGTGTAAAGAGGAGTTGGTGGAGGAGGTGAAGAAGGTGGTGGCCCAACACAAACAGCTCATCTCCCAGACCAAGAAGAAGCAGTGGGTGAGTTATGGATAAATTAGCTGACTCATACTAATGTGTTCACTTCAATAATTAAAAGGTTGAATGCTCATTTTATGATAAAAGTTAAGGAAAAGTTTAACTTTATTTATAAAACACATTTAATAACTAAAGATTTATTGTTCCTGAGCTGAAACCAGGGTTTGGATCAGATTCATTTAACATTTATACATGTTCATCTGCTTCTCCTCTACGCTCCTCTAAGCAGCCAAAAATATATACATACCTAAAGTTACCTGACTGTTCTGTCATCTGCCAATAACACGGCTCAGTTTTTATATTTTCCTACACAATAGAGCCGTTAATTGCACATGTACCTCTAACTACAGATAAAAATTTGCAGTCCTCCAATAATAAAATTTAGCCTGGATCGCAGCTTTAAAATGTCTTACATTTCTAACAAACACTATAAATCCCTTAAGTTCCAATTCGGTTTTCAACTTGCCGTCAAGTTCAACAGTTTGATTTGGCCTGCTGGTATACAATAATTACAACAAATTAACGCCTTAAAATGAATATGGTTTTATACAGCACTGCTGTTTATTTATATACGGACAGTAATGTTGGTGTCATGGTTTTCAGATGAGCTTTGCGACCGGCAAGTTTGCTACATTACTACACTTTATGGATTCTCTCTTTTTCAGAAACACAAGAACACTCACCAAAACGGTCATGGTTAGTCTTGATAGTTCTTAAGTCAGCACCTCTGGTTTGGTCAAAATAAACCCTTAATTTACCGAGTTAGATGTGAAAATAACCAGTTTTCCCTGTGGTCGCTCTGCTGTCACAAGCATGACATGGGCCGGCTGTTTATAGTCAGTCCTGTTGTGTTTACCTCCACAACTGGTCAGCTCAGCTGCCTCTTGCACCACACTGACCTCTGGAGGCATGTGAAGTACACTACATGCAAAACATCCTCAGTACAGCCTCTCGCAAGTTTAATGTGGTGTTTGTTTAGATATGCAGTATTTTGTAGGTTTAATTTAAGTCCTAAAAAAAAAAAAAATAATAATTATCAAAAAAAAAATCCTAGTTTGCACAGCTTTTCTGTGTTGTACATACTTTTTTTTTTTTTACAATAATTTAAATAATTATATTGTTTTTAATATTTAGCTACAATTTAAAGTGTTACAACAAGGATTTCCTCTCGACCCTTTTAATGATTTAATTTGAATTTATGCATATTATTAGTGTTGCATCAGAGTTCATCTTCACTTTATCCACTCTTCTTGTACTGATGTAGTCTCAGTGTGTGTTTTTCTAAATTGCCTAAAATTAAAGTAAAAAGTAACTTTTTTCCTGTTTCATTTTTATTTTCATGCTCTAGTCTCAGTTTGTCCGTCTTGCTTTAGTGCTGTAAATGAATTTGCCTTTCACCTCAAGCTGTAACCACTTGCTGGTTGTTGTTTTCAGTGTTATAACTGTGAGGAGGAGGCCATGTATCACTGCTGCTGGAACACCTCATACTGCTCCATCAAGTGTCAGCAGGAGCACTGGCACGCCGACCACAAACGCACCTGCCGCAGGAAGAGATGAACAAGACCCGCCCCCTTCTGACCTTACACAGCACGCCATTGGCTCTTGCCCTCTCCTCTTGTCAGTCAGTGTCTACAACACACACACCTAATAGACACAAACACACACACACACACACACACACATACACACACACTTCCTGCTTCTCTACTTGCCTTCCTGAAAACTTTGTGGACCCGATGTTTTCTGTGTGAAAAGAGCAATTTGTTCCCTTTTTTGTTTTCATTTTGTTTCTATTATTTAATGTACCCATTCTATTGATTTTTCTTTCTATATTTTATGTTTTTTCCTCTAAATCGTGAACAGATTGCTCGAGAGCATGGCTCGAATGCAGAATTATGGTATGATTTTTGTGTTCTTTTTTTCCTCTGATTTTTTTTTTTTTTTTTTTGGTCTTTACTGAAGTGCTAATTTTGAGCTTGTGTCAGAGAATGTGTTATTTAAGTGTGTAGTAACAGATGAGCGTTAATTGAATACATTTTATTACCTGAATTTTTAAAAAATCACTTTTCTTACTGTAAATGCAACAAATACACACCGTCGATCTTACAAGAAAAATGAAAACATACCGTAAGTACTATCGCAGCACCGAACTAGCGCCGCTTTCATAGAGAAAACCTATTTAAAAAATGATAAAAAACTGCGTAAGATATGGATTTGTGGACATCATGGCTCACCGACGTAATATATTTTTTGTTTTGTTTTTCATGAAACTATTGCGGTGGATGGCACCTTTTTATCATTTCTACCTAAAATCTTATTGTCCTCAAGTCACTTATTGGGAACAGGGTCACGAGGTCGGCCTTAAAAGACGCCGGCAAAATAAATCTTCCATGTATTATTATTATAATTAATATTATTATGCACATTTTGAGGCTCTTTTTTTCAAATAGACTAGTTTTTATGAGTCAGATATTAAAAAATGAAAGATTTTAATTAGTTCTAAATTGGGGAAATGTAAAGCAATCTTTCCTGAGCTGGATCTTAGAGAGGTTCCATGATTTGACAGTTTTTCGACTTTTTTGCACACTTCGTTTTCTTAACAACCCAAATGCTTGTAATATTGCCCAAAAAAAAAAAAAAAAAAAAAAAAAAAATCAAACATTTTGTTGAACCTACCTGAGAAGATCTGGTGAGTTCTCCCTCCTCCTGCGTCCTCCTAAAACCTTAAAACAATATGTATATTTTTCCGAGCGTCGTCAGTGTCATTTTTATAGTGATGTACACTCAAAAAGTTCATTCTTTTTTCTTTTTCTTAACCTGAAGTGACTCTTTCACTGCTTATGCTGTAGTTGGTGGTCAGTGCCTGTTTCTCTTTTTCTTTTCTCATCCTCTTACTCCCAGTAAGGCAGCATGCATGTTGATAGTTACATAGTTTGTCTTTTTTCATTCATTACGGTAAAGCTAAAAAAAAAAAGACCAGAAGCTTGCTGGTGTTTAATGAGCAGTGACGACGGATGGACCAATATAAAACTTTATGCAAATGTGAATGATCAAATGAATCTTTTCTATAGTTCTCCCTGCGCTGGATGTCAAGTGTCAATGGTGTATAAATATGGTGCTTGGAAACTTTTTTTAAAGAGGCAATAAAATTGCCAGTTTTTTATTTTCTTTGAGAAGTGTGACACTTTGTTTGATGACTGTTTCCTCAGTTATGAAGATTGACTGAACGGAGGAAAATGATTTAGTTACTCTGTCGACGCATTGCTTTTTCTTACACACAGACTGCTGTTAATCAGTTTGTGCTTCTGTTAACGTATGACAAATAAAATACCGTAAATTCTCACATAGTGGACAGGAACTTTTTTATAATCTCAGCTAAAGAGAGAACCAGACTTTTATATTCAATTCCTCCTATTTTATCCCATTTTTAACACCTGTTGCTTCTTTTTGCCGTAAAGGAAAACTCAAATTCCACGCTACATAATAATTGTATACAGTACGTACAGCATGCTAAAAGTTTTCTGCAGACAGAATACGTGAAATCAAGTTGCTCTTCTGTTCAGTGGGGAATAATGCAATACGTGAACCAACAGACTTCCATCAAACAGACAAAACAAAATGTCTTTCAAAGATTTTTTTATTCTAATATCTTTGTGACGCCTGTCCCAATTCCACACTGCTGCACTCTAACAGAATCAAGTTTGTACTTAAGACTAATATTGGTATACTGTTATTGCAGTTAGTGCACAAGAAATCAACACACTTCACTGTTTTATACCATCAGGAAATCATGAAATACATGTGAATCAATTGCCTCTTCTAGGAGCACCTCCTCCAATTCATTTGTGTCTAGTTAGGGCTGCAACTAATGATTATTTTCATTTCATTGATTCATTTATCCATTGTTTATGTGTTTAATCTATAAAATGTCAGAAAATAGTGAAACTAAATAATTTACATTAATATAAAATCACATTTAAGGAGATGGAACCAATAAATCCTTGCAAATTATTATTATTTTTTTTAAACAACTTGGTTTTCTTTTTCAGTGTCAAGTCACAACAGACGTAAAACTTGCTTAGAATCAATTTTGTTAAACATGTACTGGAAGTGTTGCATTACATAAAAGGCCGGTGTTGTTTTATATTTGGATTATTGTTAAAGGAATCCCCCCAAGATGGCGACCGCTGAAATGTAGAACTTGGGGCTTCAGAATGGGTGTCCTCAAACCAATGGGTGACGTCACGGTAGGTATCTATGTTCTCAATCAGGGGTCCTTAAGGGGGTTCCATGGTGTCCCCTGAAAAATGGTGGATAGTTTATTTACAGTATTTAACTCACTACAGAAGTGAGACAGATGTGAGCAGGAGCCATAAGAGTAACTATTCTGATCATAGGTTTCACTTCCTCTGCAGTTATCTCTTCCATAGAATTCTGGTCTTAATCATTTCTAACAACCAAAATCGTTTTAGCTGGGGGTCCCCAATGCCAAATCTTATTAAGTAGGGGTCTGTGACCTATTATGTATCAGTTTACGGATCCTTAACACAAAAAAGTTTGAGAACCACTGCATTAGAGAGTATTTGTGGCATAGGACGGTTTATTTGGGATTGAGTCAAAATAAATTACAGGATATGTGGTCATGGTGATGAAGGAACATGACACCCAGGACAAAGGAGCTCAATGACAGAGAGGAACAAGATATATAATATTTGATATACACACAGTACATATTAGTAGAGGCTCATTTTTGTTATTTTAATTAGATTTGATGAGCAAAATACTATTTAATAAGAACAAACAATCATGTTTGAAAATGGCCCACTATTAGAGAATTTACGGTAACTGTTGTTCCAGACTTTAAAGACTTAAAAACTTTTCTCTCACTTGTCTCTGAGTCTTTTTTTGGAAACTCATTTAAGTGTATCACTTTAAGATGTAACATGTTATTGTACAGTTGGACTTCTCTGTTCTCATCCAGCAGTTTGTGATTTACTTTGGATTTCTGGAAGAGTTCTCTAACGTTCTCTCGTGTTTTATCACAGTTCTCCTCAGCAGGCTTTTTTTTCTTTCTTCTATCATCATTGCACTACATGTAAATAAATCTCTTCTCCATCATATTATATGTACATTGTAAATGGATTCACAAATATTAGATTTCTGTTGTATTTTTTTCTGTGTTCACAGTGATCTGGATGACTGTTAGTTCTAGTTTTGTACAATGTACAACCGTTAATCATATCAGCTTCCATTGTTCCCACCACACTCTGGGTTTGTTCAGCACATTTCTGGTTTGGTTAAAGTATTGTCATGATGAAAACCAAACCAATAATTTTATAAAGAACTCCCATACCAATCACTCATTGAAGGTTACATGTTTTATGTTACACACTTTTTCTTTTTTTTTTTTTTTTGTGACTTTTTATATTCGTCCATCCAGCCGTTTTTAAAAAAGGATTGAGTGTAAAAAGTTTTGGAAAACTTTTTGATGTCATTCCAGTTTGTACCTGTTTTTTTTAAGTGCATGAGTAACGGTGTGTTTATCTCCAGCTCCTTTTTTCTTTTTTCTCTCCTCACGTTAAAAAAAGACATAGTTGCACTCCCTCAGAGTAAAGCAATATGACAATGATTTTTCTTTTCCTGGAACTTCAGTCGAGCTAAAATCTTTTGAAGCCGTTTCAGCTTGAAAAAGTGAGTAAATCGATCAGATTGTCGCCCTGAACCAGACTTTTCACTGTTCTTATTCCACAGTATTACAGTACAAATACTATGGGAGCACTAGGTGACATTGTGCCTTAACTCACAGAGTATTTATGTACTTCGAACTGGAATAAAACCAGTGTAAATTTGACCCTGTCCTCACCTCCTGTAGGTCATCTTCTGTTCTGTCCATATGTAAACTATTAATTGTGGCTTAACATTTTCTATGCTCCTGACATTTCTTTTTTTTTTTTTTTTTTGACGCTTTAGCTAGCAATATGTATATAAATATATTCTATGTGCTAACATGGAGGAAATAAATGTATCAACAAGTTCCTGTGTTTCCAGTTTTTGTTGTTTTTGAATTTCAACAGAGATGAATACCTCTGTACTGGACACTAAAAATATAGGTGCTCTGTCATATTAAAAGGTAGTTTACCCAAAATACATAACATTTTTCCATGTACCTCTCATGGTATTAAACTTTGTAGACAGTTTTTTTTTTTTAAGATATTTTGTGGGGCATTTTGCCTCTAATGGACAGGACAGCCAAGTGTGTGTGTGTGTGTGAGAGAGAGACAGAGAGAGAGAGAGACAGAGAGAGAGAGAGAGAGACAGAGAGAGAGACAGACAGACAGACAGACAGACAGCAAAGGGTCACAGGCTAGTGTCGAACCCAGGCTGCTGCAGCAACAGCCTTGTACATGGGGCGCCTGCTCTATCCACTAAGTCACTGACGCCCCCGACAGTTTGTTTTATTTGTCCAGATTAAGAAAAGTATCTGCTGAGAATATTGAAAAATATACAGAAAATGTAACAGTAACACATCTTTCCAGAGGCAATATTGCAGTTACTCTCGATGATGATGAGCTTGGAACTATGCTGCTCAAAAAAAAAATTTAAGGGAACACTTAAATCACACATCAGATCTCGATGAACGAATAATTCAAGTTAAAAATCTTTACTGATAGACATTGTATAATTTGTTGAGAACAATATGACGTAATAATGGTCAATGGAAACCAAAATCATCAACCCACTGAGGGATTAAAAATCACAATGAAAATCACAGTAAAAAAATGAAATCACTGGTTGATCCAACTTGCGTGAATTTTATCACCGTAACGTGAGTCAGTAGTGTGTGTGACCCCCGCGTGCCTGTATGCACTCCCAACAACATTTGGGCATGCTCCTGATGAGTAAGCAGATGGTGTTCTGGGGG